AATCATGGATTTGAGGCTTCCCACAGTGCCACACGCAGAGGACAAAGCTGTCGCCTCCGGGGCTTTTGTGCCACCCCGAGGCAGCTCCTGCGGGGCAGGGAGGGACCTGGATTTCATGGATTTCAAGGATTTCATTCCTGGATTTCACTCCCGGATCCCCTCCCGATCCCGGCCATGGTCCGGGATGTCGCAGGATGAGTTGGAAGCCACCCCAGGAGCTGTCGCTGTCCCCAGGAGTGCCCACCCCTCCCTGGCGCTGCTCCCTGATGAGGCCTCGCTCCCGATTTTTCCAAGTGGAGGAGGGAAAAGGTTGGGATTTATCCCGACAGGAATGAACCTTCGGAAAGGCCGAACTCCAAAAGCTGAATTTGAGAGAAGGGACCCAACCCAGGGACCTGAGCGTCCCCAAAGCTCCCTCGGTGTCCCGCGGGATGGGATGTGCGATCCCTAGGGAATGCCTGTGGGATCCAAACCCCTCTGGAATGTGCAGTTTGCAGCCACGAGGGCCAAATTTTGCCCCTTTTTCCAGGATGGAGGCTGAGCCTGGATGGGGGAAACCACAGGAACCCATGGGAGCGTTTGGAGGGGGGAAAACCACAACCAAAACAATTCCAGAGCCAGGACAACAACTCCAGAGGCAAAACAATTCCAGAGGCAAAACAACAATTCCAGAGGCAAAACAACAATTCCAGAGCCGAGACAATTCCAGAGGCAAAACAACAATTCCAGAGGCAAAACAACAATTCCAGAGGCAAAACAACAATTCCAGAGGCGAGACAATAATTCCAGAGGCAAAACAACAATTCCAGAGCCGAGACAATTCCAGAGGCAAAACAATTCCAGAGGCAAAACAACAATTCCAGAGCTGAGACAATTCCAGAGACAAAACAATTCCAGAGGCAAAACAACAATTCCACAGGCAAAACAACCATTCCAGAGGCGAGACAACAATTCCAGAGGCAGAACAACAATTCTAGAGGCAAAACAACAATTCCAGAGCCGAGACAATTCCAGAGGCAAAACAACAATTCCAGAGGCAAAACAACAATTCCAGAGGCAAAACAATTCCAGAGGCTGGAAGCATCTGGATGATTTTCAAGCCTTCCTCATTAAAATCCAGCCAGAGAGAGGCCAGAAGTGCTGAGATAAGAGCCAGATCCGAGCTCTTCCTCGCTGCTCCCGGCCGTGTTTTTATCTCCTGGCTGCCTCCCAGACAAGCAGGAATAACAGGAATCACGTTATCACCCTCCCTGCCCGTGGAGATGCAGGAGGATGGGGAAAATATATTTAAAATCCCATCCTTATGCACAAAATAAGGATTAAGTGCGGGGAGAAATCACTGGAAAAGGTGGCGGAGCAGTGTGGCGGTGCTGGTGGGTTTGGAGCGGATTCTGCCCGTCCTGGTGGCTCCAAACCCTGTCCAGCCTTGGGAAAAGCTCCAAGGAAACGCTTCCAAAGCCGCTTTTCCCGAGCATAACTCCCGGCTCAGACCTCGGCAGGGACTTTGCCAGGTGTTCCCTGACTCGTGGAAATGTTTTTTTCAGGGAATAAAATCCTGAAATGGCAGCTGGAGGCTGCTATGAGGGACACAAGGTGAACCTTCCCATCCCAGGAACAGCCTGGTATCCCAGGAAAACTCTCATATATTTCAGGAAAACTCTCATATTCCAGGAACAGCCTCATACCCCAGGAAAACCCTCAATATCCCAGGAAAACCCTCATATTCCAGGAAAACCCTCATATTCCAGGAATACCTTCCCATCCCGGGAAAATTTCACATGCCAGGAAAACCCTCCCATGCCAGGAACAGCCTGGTATCCCAGGAAAACCCTTATCCAGGAAAACTCTCATATTCCAGGAAAACCCTCCCATCCCAAGAACAGCCTTGCATCCCAGGAAAACCCTCCCATCCTAGGAAAACTTTCATATTCCAGGAAAACCCTCATATTCCAGGAAAACTCTCATATTCCAGGAAAACCCTCCCATCCCAAGAACAGCCTTGCATCCCAGGAAAACCCTCCCATCCTAGGAAAACTCTCATATTCCACGAAAACCCTCATATTCCAGGAAAACCCTCCCATCCCAAGAACAGCCTCACATCCCAGGAAAACGCTCATATTCCAGGAAAACTCTCATATTCCAGGAAAACCTTCATATTCCAGGAAAACTCTCATATTCCAGGAAAACCCTCATATTCCAGGAAAACCCTCCCATCCCAAGAAGAGCCTCACATCCCAAGAAAACGCTCATATTCCAGGAAAACTCTCACATTCCACAAAAACCCTCCCATCCCTCGCCTGGCCAACACCCAGCCCCACAACCGCCGAGCACCAAAACCCCCCGGAATTTCTGAAAACGCCCCAAAGACAGGAAGTTTTCCCTGCGGCAGCTCCTCAATCCCATCTCCAGCCCGGGGTTCCTGAGCTCGGGGTTTCCATGGAGCCGCGGCGGCCGCGGGGCTCAGCCCGGGCATACAGATGAGGGGCGGTTGCCACGGTGCCGGCGACATTCCGGGCCCTTCGTCCCTTTATTTATTTCTCCTTCGTCCCTTTATTTATTTCTCCTTCGTCCCTTTATTTATTTCTCCTTTGTCCGTTTATTTATTTCTTCTTCATCCCTTTATTTATTTCTCCTTTGTCCCTTTATTTATTTCTCCTTTGTCCCTCTCTTTATCTCTTCTTCATCCCTTCATTTCTCCTTTGTCCCTTTATTTATTTCTCCTTTCCCCTTGTATTTCTCCTTTATCCCTTTTTATCTTTTTTGTCCCTTCATTTCTCTTTTCTCCCTTTATTTTCCCATTTTAACTTGTATATGTCCTTTCCCCCTGTAGTTGTCCTTTCCACCTATATTTCTCCTTTTTCCTTGTATTTCTTCTTTTCCCCTATATTTATCCTTTTCCCCTGTATTTCTTCTTTCCCCCTGTAGTTCTCCTTTTTCCTTGTATTTCTCCTTTTTCCTTGTATTTATCCTTTTTTCCTGTATTTCTCCTTTCCCCTTGTATTTCTCCTTTATCCCTTTTTATGTTTTTTGTCCTTTCATTTCTCTTTTCTCCCTTTATTTTCTCATTTTTCCTTGTATTTGTCCTTTTCCCCTGTATTTCTCCTTTTCCCCTATAGTTCTCATTTTTCCTTGTATTTCTCGTTTTTCCTTGTATTTCTCCTTTTTCCTTGTATTTCGCCTCAGTCCCTTTTTATTTCTCCTTTGTTCCTTTTGATTTCTCCTTCTTCCCTTCCTTTCTCCGTTCATTTTCCCTGCCGACGTTCCAGCCGGGCCCGGGGTTTGCTCGGAGTTGGGAGATGCTGGCGAGTCCCGGTTTCCTTGTTTCGGTGGGATTTGGGGATGAAATCCCTCCCTGGGAGGAGCTGGGATGGAATTCCCACAGAATCCGTGGCTGCTCCATCCCTGGGAGTGTCCCAGGCCAGGCTGGAGCACCCTGGGATCACGGGAAGTGTCCCTGCCCATGGAAGGGGCGGGAATGGGATCATCCTCAAGATCTTCCAACCCAAACCATTCCAGGATTCCATAAAAAATCCCAATTTCAGGATTCCTTGAAATTCCCACAGAATCCGTGGCTGCCCCATCCCTGGCAGTGTCCCAGGCCAGGCTGGAGCACTCTGGGATAGTGGGAATTCCTTGCCCATGGCTCTGGATGGGATTTAAGGTCCCTTCCAACCCCAAATCATTCCAGGATTCCACAATCCCACAATAATTCCCTCCTGTCCGCTCCCAGCATTCCAACTTCCCTCAGGGGCTGGGTGGAGATGGAAAAACGGGAATGGATCATGGAAGGGTTTTCCCACAGCATCCAAGGGCCACTTCCCATCTACCCATGCCGGAGGGGTGACAGGGACGGGAAGGTCCCACTGTGCCCGGTGTGTGGTGGAGCTGGAGAAGATGGAAAAACTGGAGAAACTGGGGACGCTGGAGAAGATGGAGGAGATGGAAAAACTGGAGAAGATGGAGAAGATGGAGAAGCTGGAGGAGATGGAGAAGTTGAAGAATCTGGAAAAAGTGGAGAAGATGAAGAAGATGGAGAAGCTGGAAAAAGTGGAGTAGATGCAGAATATAGAAAAACTGGAGAATCTGGAGAAGATGGAAAAACTGGAGAAGCTGGGGAAGCCAGGGAAGATGGAGAATCCAGAGAAGATGGAGAAGCAGGGGAAAATGGGGAATCCAGAGAAGATGGAGAAGCAGGGGAATCCCAAGATGGAAAAGCTGAGGAATCCCGGGAATCCAGAGAAGATGGAGAAGCTGGGGAATCCCAAGATGGAAAAGCTGAGGAATCCTGGGAATCCAGAGAAGATGGAGAAGCTGGGGAATCCCAAGATGGAAAAGCTGAGAAATCCCAGGAATCCAGAGAAGATGGAGAAGCTGGAAAAGCTGGAGAGCAGCCCCAAGCTCAGCTCACTCCAAGATCTCCCCCAGCAAAGCCCCGGGAGCCGCCATCCCTCGGGAATGTCGCACACGGGACCAGCAGCACCAGCAGGCAGGGCCACCCTGTCCCCACCAGGCTGGAGGTGCCACCACCCCTGCAGGAATTCCAGGAGCTGCTCCCCAGGCAGAGCGGGATCAGCCCCATCCTTCCCTGGGATTTTTTTCCCCCCTCAGCTGGGATCACTCACTGCCAAAGTTCTTCCTTTTCTCCCAGTTTGCTCCTTTCCATGAGTTTTAGGCCCAAGTTTTCCCAAATCCACCATTTCCCCACAAGTTCCCATCCCGTGATTCACACAATCCCCTGGATTTTCCCATATCCAAGATTTCTCCCAGCCATCCGTGCTGGGAAAAATGGGATAAAATCGAATTATGGACAAAAGCAGCAGATCTGGAGGTGTTTTCCCTGGAAAACCAGGGTTGGAACCAGGCGCCTTTTCCAGCCTTTCCTTCACACCTCGAAGAAAAGAAATAAAACCCCCAAATTCTTCCATAATATTTGTTTTTTAAGGAGAGAAGATTCCCGAGATATTTGAACAGCTGGAGACTTTTACAGACCCGAAAACACCGGAGCACTTAAAAGGAAAGGTGTGGATCCATCAGAGGGAAGCGGGAATCGATGGATCCATCCTTTCCTTTCATGCTGCTTCTGCAGGAGCTGCTTTAAAAGCAGGAGGGAAGGAGGGAAAAGAGCGGGATCGATCCGGGAGGAGTTGATGTGGAATAAACTCTGCTCGGGAGCCCTTTCCAGGGAGAGTACGGCGGGGATAAAACTGAAACTTTGCTTTTCCCACTCTTTTAATGGTTTTTGTTTTTGTTTTTTTTTCCCCCTGCTGGGGGAGAGGCTTTTAAGGGAAAAAAATGTTGGATTGAGGTCAGCACCGAGCGGGAGAAATGGAGGAAATAATGGATTGGGAGAGGGGCAGGAGATGCCGGGGGGTTCAAACCCATCCCAACCCCACCCTGAGAATTCCCGATGTTTGGTAGATGTTTTTCCCTAAGGAATATCCCATCAGAGGGCTGCAAATGGGGATGGAGCTCCTGGACGGGGGAATTTGGAGCTGGGGAGGATGAGGAACAGGGAGCAGAGCCTGCAGGAAGATTATTCCCATGGAAAATTATTCCCATGGAAAATTATTCCCAAAACTCACAGCTCTGGCTCTGCTCAACCACAGATCCAGGGACTGCTGGGGGTCCTGGGCAGATTCCATGGGATAATTCCACCCAGATTTTCTGGGATGAGAGGGAACAGGAAAAGCCATGGATATGAAGTGGAATTCATGGATTTGTTTTGGGGGATCCTGGGAAGATTCCATGGGTTAATTCCACCCAGATCCTGTGGGATGGGAGAGCAGAGAATACCATGGATATAAAGTGGAATTTATGGGATTTGTTTGGTGAGTCCTGGGCAGATTCCATGGGATAATTCCACTCAGATCCCATGGGATGGGAGGACACAGTTCAATCAGGGATATAAAGTGGAATTCATGGATTTGTTTGGAGCGCGTTGGGGGTCCTAGGCAGATTCCACGGGATAATTCCACCCAGATCCTGTAGGATGGGAGAGCACAGCGAATACCATGGATATAAAGTGGAATTCACAGATTTGTTTGGAGGGTCCTGGGCAGATTCCATGGGATAATTCCACCCAGGTTCTCTCAGATGGGAGGGGCACAGTGAATGCCATGGATATAAACCAGAATTAATGGATTTACTGGGCAGTTTTGGGGTCCCGAGCAGGGTCCTGGGGGTGCCATCCTCAGGTTTTTACCTCCCCAACCTGTCCCTTGTCCCTGCCCCTGGTTCCCCACGAGCCCAAACCCTGCCCTATCCCAAGTCTGCTGCTTTTCCAGGAATGACCACGTGAGGAGCCTGGAAGATGCAGCCGAGCACAGGAATGACTCCTTTGGAGAGGAAGAAGAGGCCCAGCTCTGACTGAGGTGCCCCCAGCGCTTTCAGCTCCCATTTCGGGGGCGCCAGGCAGGGCCCGACACTTCCAGGGGCTCGCATGGAGCATCTCCCCCCACGGGCGCCGTCCCCACCTCGCCGTCACCGCTGTCACCCCCTGGCCAGCTCTGGATGCTCCCTGTGACCTTCTCCAGCTCAAAATGAGAGGCCTCCAGCCCAGCTGCCTCCTGCTGTGCGTGGTGGCCGCCAGCGCCATGCCCACAGTGCCGTGGCGCGTGGCGTGTCCCCCGCGCTGCGTGTGCCAGATCCGGCCCTGGTACACGCCCCGCTCCGCCTACCGCGAGGCGGCCACGGTGGACTGCAACGACCTTTTCATCACCTCGGTGCCCCCGGAGCTGCCCGAGGGCACCCAGACCCTGCTGCTGCAGAGCAACAACATCGCCAGGCTGGAGCAGGGCGAGCTGGGCTACCTGCGGAACCTGTCGGAGCTGGATCTGTCGCAGAACAGCTTCTCCGACGTCTGGGATTTCGGGCTCAGGAACATGCCCCAGCTGCTCAGCCTGCACCTGGAGGAGAACCAGCTCTCCGAGCTGCCCGACAGCAGCTTCCCGGGCTTGGGGAACCTTCAGGAGCTCTACCTGAACCACAACCGGCTCCGCAGCATCGCCCCCCGCGCCTTTGCCGGCCTGGGCAGCCTCCTGCGGCTCCACCTCAACTCCAACCTGCTGAGGACGCTGGACAGCCGCTGGTTCCAGATGCTGCCCAGCCTGGAGATCCTCATGGTCGGGGGGAACAAGGTGGATGCCATCCTGGACATGAATTTCCGGCCCCTGGGCAACCTGCGGAGTTTGGTGCTGGCCGGGATGCAGCTGCGGGAGATCTCAGATTACGCCCTGGAAGGGCTGAGGAGCCTGGAGAGCCTCTCCTTCTACGACAACAAGCTGGCAGATGTCCCCAAGAGGGCTCTGCAGCAAGTGCCCGGCCTGAAATTCCTGGATCTGAACAAGAACCCACTGCAGAGGGTCAAGCAGAGCGACTTCACCAACATGCTGCACCTCAAGGAGCTGGGCCTCAACAACATGGACGAGCTGGTGTCCATCGATCAGTTCGCCCTCATCAACCTCCCCGAGCTGACCAAGCTGGACGTTACCAACAACCCCAAGCTGTCCTTCATCCACCCCAAGGCCTTCCAGCACCTTCCGCAGCTGGAGACGCTGATGCTCAACAACAACGCCCTAAGTGCCTTGCACCGGCAGACGGTGGAGTCGCTGCCCAACCTGCAGGAGATCAGCATCCACGGCAACCCCCTGCGCTGCGACTGCGTCATCCGCTGGGTCAACAGCACGCGGCCCCGCGTGCGCTTCATCGAGCCCCAGTCCACGCTCTGCGCCGAGCCCCCCGACCTCCAGCGCCGCCACATCCGCGACGTCCCTTTCCGGGAGATGACAGAGCAGTGCCTGCCGCTCATCTCCGCCCGCAGCATCCCGGCGCGCCTGGAAGCCGAGGTGGGCGACGACGTGGCCCTGCACTGCCGGGCGCTGGCGGAGCCCGAGCCGGAGATTTACTGGGTGACGCCAACCGGCGCGAAGCTGCTGCCGTTTGGGGATGACGGGAAGTTCAAGGTGCACTCCGAAGGGACGCTGGAGATCCGCGCCATCGCGGCGCGCGAGGCCGGGCTCTACACGTGCGTGGCTCACAACTTGCTGGGCGCCGACACCCGCGGCGTCCGCGTGCTGGTCAACCGCTCCTTCCCGCTGGGCCAGGCCGAGCTGGAGCTGCTGGTGGTGGACGTCCAGCCCCACCACGTGCTGCTGGCCTGGCGGCCGTGCCTCAACGCCGTCTCCTCCAACATCACGTGGGCCAGCTCGACGCTGGGCTCGCGGCTGGGTGCGGCGCGGATCCCGGCGGGCACCCACAGCTTCAACATCACCCGGCTGCGCCCCGACACCGAGTACCGGGCGTGTCTGCACGTCACCTTGGTGGCATCACCGGTCAGGGTGGCCTGTGTGACCGCCAGGACTAAAGAGGCCAGGCAGGGGATGCCGTGGGGACAGGGGACGCTGGTGACGGCGCTGCTGCTGGGCCTGCTGCTCCTGGGGGCGGCGGCGCGCGCCGGATCCCGGCGGGAATCGCTCCGTAGGGCCGGGGCTGTGCGCGTGGTTTATCCCCTGCAGCCCCGGGGACACCTCCTGGCCGTGGAGGTGCAGGCGGCACCCCTGGAGTGCTGAGGGAGGACGGATTTTGGGGGGATGAGCGGGATTTTGGGGTGGGTGGGGAGGGGCGAAAGGGTTTTTTTACCAAAAAAAAAAAAAAAGACGGACGGTGGGGGAAAAAATGGGATTTTGCAGACATGACCTTGAGGAGCTTCAGGATCCATGGAAGAGGAGCCTCCGGTGGTCCTGGATCTGTGTGGAGGGGCTGGATTTGGCCGTGGATCCCAAAAAAACCCCGCTGGGAAGATGGGAAGGGATGGAGAACGCTGTGGGGACGATGCCCTGAGTGGGTGAAGAGCCATAAAAGGAACCCCAAACCTGTGTCCCCCTGGCACCAGGGACACCCCAGAGGTTTCACTTCCCTTGCTGGACAGTCCTTGCTTTGGAAATACAAAAAAAAAAAACTAAAAACCCCTAAAAACAAGAGATTTCTTCCTTTGGGAACTGTGTGGGGTCTTTTTCGGAGCCTTGGGATCATCAAACAAAGCAATCCCAGTGTCACCTCCCTCACTGGACAGTCCCTGCTCTGGAAATACAAGAAAAACCTAAAAACCCCCTAAAACAAAAAGGGTTTTTTTCCTTTGGGGTCTGTGTGGGGTTTGGGGTCACTTCTGGGGTTTTTTTTGGAGCATTGGGATCACCAAACCAAGTGTCACCCCCTGCTCTGTCACTGCTGTCCCCTGGGGGAAAGCAGGAAGGGAGGATTTGGGATAGAAAAATGGGAAACTGTGACGGTGACACTTCCCTGTGGGGCTGGATGGATCCTGGATCCCACAAGATCCCAAAACTTTTGTGGATAAAGGGTAAAACGGGAAAAAAAAAAAAGGAAGAAAAACAGGAAGAAAAGAGGGCAGGAACTAGGAAAAAAAATTGGGAATGTTGAGATGCACCGGGAGGGGTCCAAGGGGAAATCACTGGGATTTGGGACAGGGGGAAAACATGGATTTGTGGGTTTGGGAAATCAGGAAAAACAACCCCCAGCAATGGGATGGTGTCCCTGAGCGCCTTTTCCAGCCGGGAATGTGGATCCTGGGAGGAGGGAGAGCAGCAGGAGCTGGGTGTGGGTGCCCTCTAGCGAGCTCCGCCTTCTCCAAGAGCCCTGATCCCAAAAAACAGCCAGAAAAGGGAGAAAAACTCCGCCCGGAATTGTCACAGGGATGGGGTGGGGGATCCCACGGGAATGTCAGAGGAAATGGGATTGGGATTGGGAATGGGCTGGAGAACAAAGGGTCAAATCCAGAGGATTTACTGCTGCCATTCCCAAGGGATTTTGCAGATGTTGGAAGGGGAAAAACCTGCCTGGAAAGGTGAAAAAATTACTAAAAAGGGGAAAAATCTGTTGGGAAAGAGGAAAAAAATATTTGAAAAGGGGAAAAATCTGCCTGAAAGGAAGGAAAAATTTGCCTGCAAATGGGAAAAAATTGCTTGGAAATGGAGAAAAAAATTGCTTGGAAATGGGGGAAAAAATCTGCTAGAAAAGGGAAAAACTACACCTGAAAAAGGTGCAAATGGAACTTTAAAGGAATTATTTTATCCCCCAAAACAATGTGTTTTGTTTTTAAAGCCACTTTTCTTTAAAAAAAGGAGGATTGTTTTAGCCTAAAGGGTAGGTGAGGGCAGGTGGAACACCCCAAAATATCCCAAAGCTGCTGGAATTGAATCCTGCTGGTCAGAGGTGATACAGAATAGATTTAAATACACAAAAACAAGAAGAAATAGAAATTAAAGAGCCAAAAAAGAAAGAAAAATATAACATTATTATTATTATTTTTCCATCTCATTTGTGACCTGGATTAAAAACTTGGATTTATTTCCCATCTGGGAGCAAGGAATTCTTCACCCTGCCGACCTTAAACAATAAAAAAAATAGGAATAAAGTTCATTTTCTTCTCTCCAAAACCAATCCCCTTCCCTCCCACCATAAATATTCTGTTTTTATTTCTCAGCTCCAAAGGAATTGCACAAGTCGGGATTTATGGAAAAAAAAAAAAACATTCCAAAGTTTTCAATTTTTCCCAAATCTGCTGTTCTTGGTCAGGAGAAAGAATCCAAGAAATTTCATCCAAGGGATAAAATCCGGCTGAAGATAGGAAATCGGGAAAATTTTCCAAGTTGGGGTTTTGATCTTGAGGTGATTTCCATGGAAAAGTGGATCCTGCGGATGATTCTTGGTGGGATTAAATCTTTGTTTTCTTTGGTTTCACTGGCTGAGCTCTGGAATTGGGGTTTGAGTGCAAAAATCTTCATTTTGGGGTTATTTTAGGGGCAGAAGGTCCTGCTATCCCATAAAGATCCTGATGACCATCTTGATCCTGCAGACCAAGTTCTGGAATTGGAGGTTTCGTGCAAAAAAAAATCTATTTTTGGGGTTATTTTAGTAGTAGAAGGTCCATGAAGATCCCGATGTCTATCCTGATCCCCTTCCTGCACACACTGAAATTGGGATTTGAGTGCAAAATCCTCTTTCTGGAATTATTTTAGGGTCAGAAGATCCTGCTACCCCATGAAGATCCTCATGACCATCTTGATCTCCTTCCTGCACACATTGAAATTGGGATTTGTGTGTAAAAATCCGTATTTTGGGGTTATTTTATGAAGATCCTGATGACCATCTTGATCTCCTTCCTGCACACACTGAAATTGGGATTTGTGTGCAAAAATCCAGATTTTGGAGTTATTTTATGAAGATCCTGATGACCATCTTGATCTCCTTCCTCCACACACTGAAATTGGGATTTGTGTGCAAAAATCCAGATTTTGGGGTTATTTTATGAAGATCCTGATGACCATCTTGATCTCCTTCCTGCACACATCGTAATGGGGGTTTGAGTGCAAAAATTCAGATTTTGGGGTTATTTTATGAAGATCCTGATGACCATCTTGATCTCCTTCCTGCACACACCGTAACGGGGGTTTGAGTGCAAAACTCCAGCTTTTGGGATTACTTTAGGGACAGAAAGCCTCCCTACCCCATGAAGATCCTGATGACCATCTTGATCTCCTTCCTGCACACGGGACACGGCGATCTTTTCTTCTTCAGCATCCTGGCACACCTGAAGCAGGCCACCAGGTGAGCAGTCCTTCCGTGGACAATATTCCCATCCCGAGGCCTGTGCTGGCACAGGAAGCAGGGATTCAGCAGGGTTTTGATGCTCTCCAAAGATTCCACCTCCTCCTCTTTCTTCAGCTTGGCAAAATCCCGACTTTTCCCGTCCCGCGCCAAATCCAAGGACTCGATGGAGCCGCCGGGATCGGCGCAGGATTTGTTTTCTGCCAGGAAAAGGGGTTTGGGTTGGCCAGCCGGGGCTGAGATCGTCCTCCTGCAGTCTGGGACGTCCATCCCTTCATCCTGCTCCTGGTTTTCCATGGAATTGATGTTGGAAAGGGACAGGGAATGGGGCAGTTTGGGGCAGTCCCGGTACCAGTCCTTGCGCAGGGCCCAGCAGCGGAAGCAGTACCTTTTTCCCGGAGAGTTGAATTTCCTGCATTTAGAGCATTGCCAGCAGTCCTGAGGGATTTAAGGCAAAAAAATTCCAGCCAAAAGAAAAAAAATCAATTTATTTTTGGGTATTCCTTGTTTTAGCTGTGTGGGTAAAGCAGCAAGGAAGCCTCGTTTAAAAAAATGTATTTATGAGTGATTTATAAGCTGGAAAATCAACATTTTGTGGCTTGGGATTGATTCATCCCGGATCTGTCCCTCATGAATTCCTCTCCTCTCTCTCTCTCCCAGCCCTCTGAAAGAATCCAAGTTGGGGCAGTTTAATTTTATTTAATTTCAAGAGAATTTTCAATCTTTTGCTCAAAATTCAAGGGGAGAGCTCCTGGAATTTGGCAGAAATTTGTTTTCCAGGCTCACCCATCACTTACCAGCTGTTGAATCTGCATAATTAATGGATTTATTAATTAATTATCTCACAGAAAAGGGTAGGAGCTGCAAAACTGCAGAGCCAGGACTCAGCTGTCCAAAGCCAGGGACATCCCCATTTATTCCAGGCTGGAAAATTCTGCCAAAAAACACTAAAATTCTGCTCAAAACCATCAAAATTCTGAGTTTTTGACTGATTATAAAGTTCTACTTGAGTTTCCCAGGTCCCTTCCAAGGACAATCCTCCAGATTTCCATCCAGAGGTCACCACGGAATTAAAATCTTATTAAAACCTTATTAAACCATGCCTGGGTATCAACATAACTTCACCCAGCCACTTTTCTTTTTGGAATCCCACAAAAAAATCAGCTTTTCTCACCCCAAAACCAGCAACAGATGTGGGATGAGCCCTTCCAGCCCCAGGTAATCCCAAAGAATTCCCACCTCAGAAGCAGCCTCTGTGTCCGTGTCATCACTCAGGCACTGGGAATCCTCCAGCTCATCCAAGCACACATCCTCAGGTACCTGGAATTCCAGGAAAGCATTGTCAGAGGGTGGGAATGTTGGAATATTCCCTATTTATTGTTTGCCTGGCGATGGCCACTCCAAATAAAGGATTATAGCGTCACCCTGCTCATTAGATCACTTCTAAAAGTGAATTTAAAACCATTTTTGCAGCGGTTCTTTTGCAGAATGTTGGTAACTTTTGCTGGTTTACCATGATCAGACTTTCCTCTTTGAGTCTTTAGCTGGACTCGATTTTTAAAAGCCTTTTCCAAACTTAGTTCCATGATTTTTGATTTATAACTCTTGCAGGTATTGGTTAGAAACCCACTTAAGTTGCTGAGAGAAGTTTAATTCATTTTCAATTGATTTTATGCCTTGAAAAATTGAATTTAAACCAGAACCCAAGCAGGAAAACCATCAAACACATGAGGAATGGTGACAGCAGTTTCTAAACAGGATTTAGCCTCTGGATGGGAAGAGATCCAGCCTTTTTAAGGTCAGCAGAGCACCATGGGATGAATTAAAAGAGAAAAAATTGTGCCAGAGGTACCTTGGTGTCACCTTCTGTGACCTCCTCACAGTCCAGCACTTCCACCTTGAGCCCAGCAGCGCCCTGGTCCAGGGGACACTCGTTGAGGAACCACAGGTCATCAGTGGTGTCTGAAACTATGGCAGTGTCAATGTCCTGAGGGAAAAAAGAAACCAGGAAAAATAATTTGGCATTGTCTCATTGTCCTCTCCAACGACCTCCAAAGCCCTGGGCACCTCACTGCCCTCAGACACCCCTTTTGAAAAATTTCTGCCTCACAGGCCCCCCTTTTCCCACCTCACAGGTTTCCAGTTTTAAAATTTTCACCTCACAGATTCCCTTTCCCCAGTTTGCACCTCACAGGCTCCTCTTTTCCCAATTTTTACCTCACCAGTTTTCCTTTTTTTACCTTTTCCCAATTTTTACCTCACAAATTCCCCTTTTCCCAACCTTTTCCCAATTTTTACCTCACCAGTTTTCCTTTTGTTACCTTTTCCAAATTTTTACCTCACAAATTCCCCTTTTCCCAACCTTTTCCCAATTTTTACCTCACCAGTTTTCCTTTTGTTACCTTTTCCAAATTTTTACCTCACAAATTCCCCTTTTCCCAATTTTTACCTCACAAATTCCCCTATTCCCAACCTTTTCTTAATTTTTACCTCACAAATTCCCAATCTTTTCCTAATTTTTACCTCACAAGTTCCTTTTCCCAATTTTTACCTCACAAGTTCTCCTTTTCCCAACCTTTTCCCAGTTTTCACCTCACAAGTTCTTGTTTTCCCAGCCTTTTTCCCAATTTTTACCTCAAAAATTCCCCTTTTCCCAATTTCCACCTCAAAAGTTCTCCCTTTCCCAAGCTTTTCCCAATTTTTGTCTCACAAATTCCCCTTTTCCCAACCTTTTCCCAGTTTTTACCTCACAAATTCCCCTTTTCAAAACCTTTTCCCAGTTTTTACCTCACCATCTACCCTTTTTCCAACTTCCACCTCTTCCAGCTTGCCCACCACCCTACAGTGTCCACCCCAATAAAAAAAAGGGCAACTCCTGAAATCCAGGCACCTCTGAGGGCCTTGAGGAAAGAGTTTGGTCGATTTAAAAACCTTAAAATTCACAACCAACCAATGGGAAAGGCCCAGAGTGGGAAAAAGGCTGAAAATCCTGGAGTGGGAAGGGGAAAGAGAGAAAAAAACAGAATATCTGATTTCCTTGGAAGCCAAAAGAGGAGAGAAAAGAGGACACAAAGCCCCTTTTACACACCTGGTTAGTCTGAATATCCGTGGATCCGTTACTCCTGGATTTGTAATTGCTTCTGAGATTCCCTAAAAACCACCACGGCAGCCCGGCCACATCCCATTCCTCAAAAACCAGGTCCAGCTTGGGCTTTTTGCTTTTGGAGAGGTTTTCTAACAAATCATTATCTGGAAGAGCCAAGCACAGTCCAAGTCATTGGGTAAGAGACATGAGCAGAGAAAAAAATCAGGTTAAAACCTGATTTTTTTACTTCTTCCATCAGGCTGAGAAATGTGGGGTTTGGATATCCCTAATTTGGTAAAAATCTCTGTACAAGTCAGGGAATATCCCAGTGTTCCCACTGCCCCTGCACAGGGACAGGCTGAGTTTAATTTAAAAACTTCACCACAGAAACACAAACACTTCCCCAGCCAGCCCTGAGTGATTTAAAATGCAGAAAAGGACTGGTTGGAATTCAGTTTGCAGCTCATGAATTCCCAAGAAGTGGGATCCATCCCCCCCGTGCTCCAGCCTGGGATCCCAAACCGAGTACTCTGCAAAGCTGGTTGGTAAATCCAGGGAATTTTCCAAGTGTTTCCAAGGCTGGCTGGTAAATCCAGGGAATTCCAGCTCTCCCATTTTAGCTGGAAACAAGGAGCTGCTTTTTTCCATTGATAAGAGAGAATAAAAAGTGGAAAAACAGGAAAATTGCTCCCAAAACTTCTGAATTTCCACATGTGATCCAGCAAAAAAAATCCCACGGAGGAAATGTCAAATATGACAGATCCACCCAAAAATCCCCAGTTTTGTTCAGTTCCCTGCTTGGTTTGCAAGGAACGACTGCAGCCAGCCCAGGCTGGATTCTGTGAGCTCAGGAACCTCCTTTGGGAAGAGGGATGGATCCAAAGATAATTCCAGCATTTAAAACACCCTCCAGCAAGGTCTGGAAGATTTTTTTTCTCATGGCATTACTCAGTGAGAGATGAGATTTTGGGGCTTAACCTGCCACTGCACTCAGAGCATTTACGCCAGAAAATAAAATACCTGTGGTGAACTTTGTAATTTCTTAGTCTTTAGCACAAAGATTGTTAATTTTTCTATTCCAAACCAGGGGTTTTTCTGAGTCCATCCTCCAGCATTTTGCTGCTCTGTGTCCCACACGTTTGCAAACATTGTGATAATGCAGAAATTTGTCCCTCACCTTCACAATTTCACATTTGGGTTCTGAGGTAGCTGGAGCTGAGCTTTTGCTGTCACCCTCCAGGATCCCAGAGTCTCAATCTTGAGCACCAAATTTTTAAATGATTCTACTCCAAACCAGAGGTTTTTTTTATTCTCCCAGCTCCTTCCTCCAGCATTTTGCTGCTCTGTGTCCCACACACATTTGCAAACATTGTGATAATGAAGAAATTTGTCCAGGGCTTTTTTGAGCCCAGCATTTTGCTGCTGTGTGTCCCACACAGGTTTGTAAATGCTGGGATAATGCAGAAATTTGTCCCTCACCTTCACAGCTGTCACATTTGGGCTCTGAGGTAGCTGGAGCTGAGCTTTTGCTGTCACCCTCCAGGATCCCAGAGTCAGATCCCTCCTCCTGGCTGAGCTGCAGGAAGGAAAATCCAGGAATTAGCCCAGCAGAGCTTGCAGGGACAAGGGGATGCAGCACTTCCATCCCCAGGCACCAGCTGCAGGACAAGACCAAGCAGGCAGGAAGAGGAAATAATTCAGAATAAAAACTACAAACTATTTCTCCTAAAAGCCTCTGGAATCAGCACCAAGGAAAAATCTTCAGCTTGGCAAAAATCCCAAAGTTGGCATTTTTTCCATGCAGTAAAAGTTGATTTTGTGACTCTCTGACACCTCCCAGCCTTCACCCCAAACCACACCTGGAAAAAAACATCGGATGTGCCAAGATTTTTCCTAGGTTATCACCTCTGCCTGAAAAAAGCTGCTGGAAACAAATCCTAACTAAGGCACAGCGAATGATTTATTTGGCAATTCCTAGTGGGAGAAAAGGTGGGATAAAAGAGAGGGAAAAAAGCAGGAAAGCAGGGCTGGAGAAGCTGAGGCCTGGAAGTGCTGCAGCCCAGAAGAACGCGCTCAGAGACTGGCACTCTGTCACGAGGAGAACAGAGAAGGGTGGCTCTGTCCCTGCTCTGTGGACTCCGAGAACTTTTTCATTTTGGGGGGATTTTTCCCTCAGGAAAAAAAAAAAAAGGTGAGGAGCAGCACAAGGAGAAGAACAAAAAGTTCTGGCAGTCCACCATGCAGAGGTACAGAGAAGGGGCGGCTCTGTACAAGAAAAGAACCCACTGGGCAGTGGGGTTTACCTGCAGCTGGTCTGGGCTGGGCTTAGCGACGCTCTGCTCCTTTGGGAGAGTCTGTGCAGCATCTGCAGATGGCAGGTAAAACACAAGGAAAAGCCTTCCCCGAAAATTCCCATTCTCACAGCACACGGGGCTCTGGGGCAAGCAACCAACCAGCCAGGCTTGGCAGAGCTGGGGGAGTCCTTCAGGTGAAAAGTCACTGTTCTTCCCAAAGGGAAAAATGATTCTTCTTCCTACAGCCAAATTCAGAACATTCTTCCCAAATGGGAAAACCTATTCTTTTCCCTACAGCCAAATTCAGAACATTCTTCTCAAATGAAAAACCTATTCTTTTTGCTACAGCCAAATTCAGAATGTTCTTCCCAAAGGGAAAAATGATTCTCCTTCCTACAGCAAAATTCAGAATGTTCTTCCCAAATGGGAAAACCTATTCTTTTCCCTACAGCCAAATTCAGAATGTTCTTCCCAAATGGGAAAACCTATTCTTTTCCCTACAGTCAAATTCAGAATGTTCTTCCCAAGGGAAAAATGATTCTTCTTCCTACAGCCAAATTCAGAATATTCTTCTCAAAGGAAAAACCTATTCTTTTCCCTACAGCAAAATTCAAAATGTTCTTCCCAAAAGGAAATATTCTTCCTTTTGTTATAGCCAGTCCAAATTCAGAATATTCTTCCCAAAGAGAAACATGATTCTTTTTCCTATAACCAAATCCAGAATATTCTTCCAAAAGGGAAAAGTTCTTCTTTTTCCTATAGCCAAATCCAGAATATCCTCCCCAAAGGGAAAATTTATTCTTTTTGCTATTAGCCAAATTCAGAATATTCTTCCCAAAGGAAAAACCTATTTTTTCCCTACAGCAAAATTCAAAATATTCTTCCCAAAAGGAAATATTCTTCCTTTTGTTATAGCCAGTCCAAATTCAGAATATTCTTCCCAAAGGGAAAAGTTCTTCTTTTTCCTATAGCCAAATCCAGAATATCCTTCCCAAAGGGAAAAATTATTCTTTTTGCTATTAGCCAAATTCAGAATATTCTTCCCAAAGGAAAAAACCTATTTTTTCCCTACAGCCAAATTTGGAATTCTTCCCAAAGGCAAAAATGATTTTTTGCTACTGTCATGCCAAATTCAGAATATTCTTCCCAAAAGGAAAATTTATTCTTTTTGCTATAGTCAAATTCAGAATTCTTCCCAAAGGGAAAAATTATTCTTCTTCCTACAGCTAAATTCAGAATTCTTTCCAAAGGGAATAGTTAATTCTTATTCCTGGAGCCATCCCAAACTCAGAACATTCTTCCCAAAGAGAAACATGATTCTTTTTGCTACAGCCAAATTCAGAATATTCTTCCCAAAGGGAAAATTTATTCTTTTTCCTATAGCAAAATCCAGAATATTTTTCCCAAAGGGAATTTTGATTTTTTTTCCTGCAGCCATCCCCAGCTCCAGGGCTGTGCCAGGGGAATTCCTGCTCGTTTTGGGTGTCTCTGGGTCTGGTACTCCTGGATTTGGAATTTTTCCTGACCTTCCCTAAAAACCACCTCAGCTTTGTCTGATTTTCCAAGGATCTTTTGTACATCCAGGGAATTTCCTGGATATATATAAATATATAAATTCCAATCCCATTTCAGCTGGAATTTTTTACAAGGAGCTGTTTTTCCACCTGAGGTTCCTCAAAACGAGAGAATAAAAAAAAAAGGAAAAACGGGAAAATTGCTCCCAAAACTTCTGAAATCTCCATGAGTGACCTAGCAAGAAATCCTATGCGGGAAATGTTAAAATATGACAGATCCACCCCAAAAAAAAATCCAATTTTTGTTCAGTTCCCTGCTTGGTTTGCAGGGAATGACTGCAAAGCCATTCCTCAAACACCAGGATTCCACAGGGAATCCCACCTGGAAGGTGAACAGGGATTTTTTTTTTTTTTTTTTTAATTTCTGATAATTTCTTGTTTTTTTCCTAAAGGGTTTGGGCATGAAAATAAAGGAAAATTCCATGCACAGGCAGCTGCTCCCAAGAGTTAAAAGGTTGAGTTAAATTAACAAGATAACACCCAGATAGGGAAGAGATGAAGATGGCAAAAAAAAATTCCACCTAAAAATGGCCTTTAAATGGAGCAAAATTCCCGCAAAATTCAGAAATTCCTGCTTTTCTTTCCTGTTTTTGTTACATTCCAGCTGCTGGGTTTTCATCCCTGCTGGAAAACAGGAGCCAGGGCTCTGCAGGGAGAAATCCTTCCAAAATCTGATTTCCAGGGAGTGAAAATACTCCAGGTGCTGGAAGGTTTCCTACTGGAGCTGGGGAATTGCAGAAAAACCTGAAGTGAGGGAATCCCAAATGCAGACTTGGGAAAAGTGGGCAAGGAAGGGGGAAAGTGGCCAAGGGAAGGGGGGAGAATTAGAAAAGGGGTAAAGAATTAGAAAATTGGAAAAGAAAAAGGGGAAATTAGAAAAGAAGAAGGGGGAAAATTAGAAAATAAAATAAGAAAATTATTAGAAAAGGGGGAAAATTAGAAAAGAAAAAAAGAGGGAAAATTAGAAAAGAAAAAAGTGGAAATTGGAAAAGAAAAAGGGGGAAAATTAGAAAATAAAAAAAGAAAATTATTAGAAAAGGGGGAAAATTAGAAAAGAAAAAAAAAGAGGAAAAATTAGAAAAGAAAAAAGGGGAAAATTAGAAAAGAAAAAAAAGGATAATTAGAAAAGAAAAAAAGAGGGAAAATTAGAAAAGAGAAAAGGGGAAAAACAGAAAAGAAAAAAGAGGAAAAACAGAAAAGAAAAAAGGGGAAAAACAGAAAAGAAAAAAAAAGGGGGAAAATTAGAAAAAAAAAAAAGAAAATTAGAAAAGGAAAAAAAAGGGAAAATTAGAAAAGAAAAAAAGGGAAAATTAGAAAAGAAAAAAGGGAAGGAAAAGTGATAGGAAAAGAAGGAAAAGAGGTGGAAAAAGAGGGAAAAGGGGTGGGAAAGGGAAGGAAAAGAGGCGGAGAAAGAAAGGGCCAGGAAAGGAAGGAAAATGGGGAGAAAATTAAGGAAAAGAGGTGAAAATTAAGGAAATAAAGAAAAATGGGTGGAAAAATAAGGAAATAAAGAAAAATGTGTGGAAAATTAAGGAAAACGGGAGAATGAAGGAAAATGGGGGGGAAATTAATGAAAACTGGTGGAAAAGGGGTGGGAAATTATGGAAAATGGGGGGAAAGGAAGCAAAAGAGGTGGGAAAGGGAAGGAACATGGGGAAAAAAAGGAAAATATGAGGAAAAAAAGGAAAATAGGTGGAAAAAAAGGAAAACGAGGGGAAATTAATGAAAATGGATTGAAAAGGAAGGAAAAGAGGGGAAGGGGAAGGAAAATGGGTGGGAAAAGAAGGAACAGGGGTGGGAAAAGAAGGAACAGGGTGGGAAAGTGAGGGAAAATGGGGAGAAAATTAAGGAAAATAGGTGGGAAATTAAGAAAAAGGAGTGGGAAATTAAAGAAAAGGGGTGGGAAAAGAAGGAAAACGGAGGAGAAAGAAGGAAAATGGGGAGGAAATGAAGGAAAATGGGGGGGAATTGATGAAAATAAGTGGAAAAGGATGGAAAAGAGGTGTGAAATTATGGAAAAAAGGTGGGAAATTTCCCTGGCTGCTCTGTTCTGCCAAGCTGGGCTGGTTTGGGTCCCACTCACACAGAGCCAGGCCCAGCTCTGCACTCACACAGCTCAGGGACAGCACTCACACCATCCTCCTGCAGCCAAAGAGCCCAAAGGGATTCAAAAGAGGCTTCTAGAAAATAAATCCAAATTAAAAAAAGGATTTTCTGTAAAAAAATCCATGGTAGAAAATGGCCACGGTTTTCATTTTTTTTAAATTTTGGATTTTAAGTTGATTTTTAAGTTTAATTTTGAATTTTTCCACACGTGCCTGAGCCCTCCTAAAGGTTTAAATCTATTTTTTCTGTTTAAAAATGGGAAATGTGGCTCCAAATTCCCCAGGTATGGATTAAATCCATTTTATGTGTTTTAAAAAATATGAAATGTGGCACAAAATCCACAGCTGGGGATGGAATCCATTTAAATCTGTTTAAAAATGGGAAATGTGGCACCAAAGTCCCCAGCTGTGGATCAAATCCATTTTATGTGTTTAAAAAATAGAAAATGTGGCACAAAATCCATAGTTGTGGATTAAATCCATTTTATCTATTTAAAAAATGGGAAATGTACAGAATTACACAGCTGGGAATGAAATCCATTTTAATCTGTTTTAAAAAATGGGAAATGTGGCACAAATTCCCCAGGTGTTGATTGAATCCATTTTAATCTGTTTTAAAAATGGGAAATGTGGCACAAAATCAACAGCTGGGGATGAAATCCATTTAAATCTGTTTAAAAAAATAGGAAATGTGGCACCAAAGTCCCCAGGTATGGATTAAATCCTTTTTATGTGTTTAAAAAAAATGGGAAATGTGGCACAAAATCCCACAGATGTGGAAGATGAAGGTTCAAGGTTCAAGCCTTGCGGAATTTTTTAGCATTTTTTGAGAAGATCAAAACACAAAATGAGGTGAGAGGAAAAAAAATCACAACTCTGAAACTGAAAAAAAAAATCCAAAAATGAAGAAAAAATCGATTCCAGTCAAGGATGGGATTTTAGGGTTTGGCTTTGCCCCAACTTTGGGATTTTTAGCATCATTCAAACATCTCCTGGCACACAGAAAAGACACAAACTCCACAAGAAAGTTTTTGAGAGAAGTTTTTTCCTCTTGCAGCACCAGGATTTGGGATTTTCCTGGATTATTTTTATTTTTTGATTTTTTTTGCCTTTTTTTTTAGTACTTACCAGGTTCAGAACAACATTTATGGAATGGGACCAACCTACCTGGGAGGGCAGCAGGGCTCAGGTTCCTCTTCAGCATCTCATACACAGGGCTGGGGAGGGCAAAAAATCTCTTTTAGTGCCACAGAGAAACCCCAAAAAAACCAAAAATCCCCAAATTCCCAAAGCCTTTGAGGGACTTAATGAGAAAAACTCAAAAGGAATGGAATTTCCTACAGATCCCAGAAAGCACAGAGGGGTTTCTGTTGGAGAACCCAAAAATCAGTGGGGTTTTCATTAAAAAACCCCAAAAATCACCGGGGTTTTAAACTAGAGAAACCCCCCAAAAAAATCAGTGGGGTTTTTATTAAAAAAACCCAAAAATCAGTGGGGTTTTTATTAGAGAGATCCCAAAAATCAGTGGGGTTTTCATTAGAGAGATCCCAAAAATCAGTGGGATTTTAATATACAAAACCCCAACAATGTTTTTTCAGATGTATCATATAAAAATGAGGTTTTTTTCAGATTTATCAGCTAAACATGGGAGGGTTTTTTTCAGATTTTCCAGATAAAAATGAGATTTTTTTTTCAGAATTTTCTGAATGAAAATGGGATATTTTTCAGGTTTATTGGCTAAAACTGTGACTGTTTCAGGTTTTCCAGCTAAAATTGTGATTTTTTTTTTTTCAGGTTTATCAGTTAAACTGTGACTCTTTTGGGTTTTCCAGCCAAAACTGTGATTGTTTCAGGTTTTCCAGCTGAAATTGTGACTTTTTTTTCAGGCTTATTAGCTAAAAATGAGATTTTTTTTCAGATATACCAGCTAAAAATGAGATTTTTTTTTTTCAGATGTATCAGCTAAAAATGAGGTTTTTTTCAGATTTATCACCTAAAATTGGGAATTTTTCAGATTTTCCAGCTAAAAAGAGGAGTTTTTTTACATTTTTCCGACTAAAAAATGGGATTTTTTTTTTTTAGATATACCAGCTAAAATTGTGATTTGTTTCAGGTTTATCATCTAAATTGTGATTTGTTTCAGGTTTATCAGTTAAATTGTGATTTTTTTTTCAGGTCTATCATTTAAACTGTGACTGTTTCAGGTCTATCAGGTAAATTGTGATTTTTTTTCAGGTTTATCAGCTAAATTGTAATTTTTTTTCAGGTCTATCAGTTAAACTGTGACTATTTCAGGTTTATCAGCTAAATTGTGACTGTTTCAGGTTTATCGGTTAAATTGTGATTTGTTTCAGGTTTATCAGCTAAAACTGTGACTATTTCACGTTTATCAGCTGAAATTGTGACTGTTTCAGGTTTATCAGCTGAAATAGCGATTTTTTTTCAGGTTTATCAGTTAAATTGTGACTGTTTCACGTTTATCAGCTAAATTGTGACTTTTTTTTCAGGTTTATCATCTAAATTGTGATTTTTTTCAGGTTTATCAGCTAAATTGGGATTCTTTTTTCAGGTTTATCAGCTAAATTGTGCCTGTTTATCAGTTAAACTGCGGTCTGTCTCGGGTGTGCCGTGCCGTGCCGTGCCGTGCCGTGCCGTGCCGCGCCCACCTGGGCTCCCGCAGGGAGAAGCCGCGCAGCCCCAGCAGCGCCCCCAGCGGGTCCCCGGCGCAGTGCACCAGGTGCTGCTGCCGCGGGTCGTAGAGCCGCCGGCCCAGGATGTACTGGCCCAGGAAGTGCATCACCTGCGGGACGGGGGAAATTTGGGGTCAGTCCCGGGATTTGGGGTCATTCCCGGGGCTTGGGGTCGTTCCTGGGGTTTGGGGTCATTCCCGGGATTTGGGGTTCATTCCTGGGATTTGGGGTCATTCCCGGGATTTGGGGGTCATTCCTGGGGCTTGGGGTCACTCCTGGGGTTTGGGGTCATTCCCGGGGTTTGGGGTCATTCCCGGGATTTGGGGTTCGTTCCTGGGGCTTGGGGTCATTCCTGGGGGACGGGGAATTTGGGGTCAGCCGGGATTTGGGGTTGCTCCTGGGGTTTGGGATCACCTGCGGGACAGGGGGAATTTACGGTCATTCCCGGGGATTTGGGGCTCACCTGGGGATTTGGAGGTCATTCTTGGGGTTTGGGATCACCTGTGGGACAGCGGGGTTTGGGGTCACTCCTGGGGTTTGGGATCACGGGGTTTGGGGTCATTCCTGGGGCTTGGGGTCACTCCTGGGGTTTGGGGTCACCTGCGGGACAGGGGGAATTTGGGGTCAGCCGGGATTTGGGGTCACTCCTGGGGTTTGGGGTCATTCCCGGGATTTGGGGGTCGTTCCTGGGGCTTGGGGGTCATTCCTGGGGTTTGGGGTCACCTGCGGGACAGGGGGAATTTGGGGTCATCCGGGATTTGGGGTCACTCCTGGGGTTTGGGATCCCCTGCGGGACAGGGGGAATTTGGGGACATTCACAAGGATTTGGGGTTCACCCGGGGATTTGGAGATCATTCTTGGGGTTTGGCTCACTCCTGGGGTTTGGGGTCATTCCTGGGGTTTGGAGTAATTCCTGGGGTTTGGGATCACCTGCGGGACAGGGGGAATTTGGGGTCACTCCTGGGGATTTGGGGGTCGTTCCCGAGGATTTGGGGGTCACCTGCGGGGCAGCGGGATGGGGCTCATTCTGGGATTTGGGATTCACACCCGGGGATTTGGGATTCATTCCTGGGGATTTGGGGTCCATTCCCTGGGGATCACCTGTGGGACAGCACTGGGGATGGATCCTGGGGTTTCCTGGCATTTGGGATTCATTCCCTGGCATTTGGGATCACCTGTGGGGACAGCACATTCTGGGATGGATTCCTGGGATTTGGGATTTCCTGGGATCTGGGATCACCTGTGGGGACAGCACGTTCTGGGATGGGTTCCTGGGATTTGGGATGGACCCAAAATGACCCCAAAGTGCCCCTGCAGGTGAAATGGGAACACTTCCCAGGGAATTAAGGATGAATCCCAAATCCCAACTCACCTCTTTGAGCGTGAAGGAGTCGCCCTGGGCCCCCGCAGCCCTCAGGATCCTCAGCAGGGGCAGCTTGGGAACCACCTGGAAAACACAGCAGGGATTGCCTGGAATTCTGCCAGTCCAACCTGGGATTGTCCCAAAAACACCCCACACCAAAAATATCCACACAAAAAAAAAAAAAACCCCACACCAAAAATATCCACATTAAAAAAAAAAAAAACACACCAAAAAAATCCCCACTGTTTATCAGTATTCCCCCATTATTTATCAATACTACCAATATTTCCCCACTATTTATCAATATTTTACCATTATTTCTCAACATTTCCCCACTATTTACCAATACTACCAATATTTCCCCACTATTTATCAATATTTTCCCATTATTTATTAATATTTCCCCACTATTTATCAATACTTCTACAATATTTACCAATACTATGACTATTTCCCCACTATTAATCAATATTTTCCCAATATTTATCAGTACTATCCATATCTTCCCACAATTTCCCAATATTTTCCCACTATTTCTCCACTATTTATCAATATTTTCCCATTATTCATCAATACTATCAATATTTCCCCACTATTCATCAATATTTCCCCACTATTTACTAATACTATCAATATTTTCCCAATATTTATCAGTATTTCCCCACTGTTTATCAATATATCCCCACTACTTATCAACACTTTCCCACTATTTATCAATATTTGCCCATTATTTATCACTATTTTGCCACTATTTATCAATATTTTCCCATTGTTTGTCAATATTTTCCAATACTATTTACCAATAAGATCAATATTTTCCCACTATTTATTCACAACCGGCCAAACGCTGGGAGTGGGGTTAATTAGCTGCTAATGAGGTGTTAATTACCTGACTGGGCTGGCCCGGGGCGATCCCGCAGGAATTCCCAGCTCCGGGGGCTTGGCTGGAATTTGGGAATTTGCTCATCCTGGCAGTGAGGAGCTGCTCCAGCACCGACCTGCAAATGCATTTTTGGGTTAAAATCTGCCCAAAAATCCTTTTTTTGATCCTGGTCCGGCCCCTCCTGCTCTGAGGGATTGGGGAAAAATGAAAAAAAAATGGAAAAAAAAAAAGAAAAAATGAAAAAAAAAGAAAAAATTGAAAAAAACATGAAAAAAAGAAAAAAAAAGGGGAAGAAAAGGGGAAAAAAGAAAGAAAAAGGAAAAAAATGGGGAAAGAAAAAGGTGGAGTGGAAAGCGAAAAAAAGGGGGAAGAAAAAGAGGAAAAAAGAAAAAAAGGAGGGAAAGAAAAGAAGGAAAAGAAAAGGGGGAAAGAAAGAAAACAAAAAGAAAAAAAGAGTGGGAAAAAGGAAAAAATCAAAATATTGACCACAAACACCCTGAAAATGAGCTGGGTACACTCAAATTTATCAAATATTTAAATTCATGAAGAACATCAATAGTGACCTGGAATAATTCAAATTATTCAATTTGAAAAATTCAATTATTCAATAATTTAAATTATAACAGCTTTAATTCCTTCCCAGTTCATATTTTACTGAATTTTAACAAATTTATGAGGGAAAAAATGAAAATATTGACCACAAACGCCTCTAAAATAAGGTGGGTACACTCAAATTTTTATCAAACATTTAAATTTATGAGGAGCATTGACAGTTACCTGGAATAATTCAAATTATTCAATTTGAAAACTTCAATTATTCAATAATTCAAATTATTCAAGCTATAATCCCTTCCCAGTTCACATTTTGCTGAATTTTAAGAAATTTATGAGGGAAAAAAATCAAAATATTGAACATAAAATAGTTTTAAACCTCCCAAAATGAGCTGGACAGGGTAGACTCAAACTTATTTAATATTTAAATTTATGAGGAGCATTGACAGTGACTTGGAATAATTCAAATTATACCAGCTTTAATCCCTTCCCAGATCATAATTTGCTGAATTTTAACAAATTTATGAGGGACAAAATGAAAATATTAACCACAAACACATCTAAAATGAGTTGGGTAGACTCAAATTCATCAAATATTTAATTTGCTACCTGAAATAATTCAAATTATTCAAGTTTTAATCCCTTCACAGTTCATATTTTACTGATTTTTAATAAATTTTTGAGGGAAAAAATGAAAATATTGACCACAAACACCCTGAAAATGAGCTGGACTTACCGACCTTGACTTTTCCTGGAATATCCTGGGATTTTTATCCCGGGATTTTGCCGTGGGATAATTCCGAGGATGCTCCGGGAGTTTTGGGGTTTTTTTTTTAATTCGCTTTTTTCAAACCTCGCCCGAGGGAGGGACCGAAAGTGGCCGATAACGGCTGGGCTGGGCTGAAAATCAGCTTGAAAAAGGTGAAAAAATCGGATTTTTTCTCCCTCCCCTTTCCCTGCAAAGAAATTCTGCTGCCCCAGGGCTGAGGGAGAGGAATTTTAACCTTTTCAGCGCTGATTTTATCACTCAAAACCTCGGTTTTTGCAGAGAATTTTAAATTTTTTTAGGCAGTTCGCTTCTCATTAATATTGTTATTTCATCAGAAATGAATTTTTGGCGTTAATTAAGGTTTTGTGCGCGAGTTTTTAAAATATTTCCAGGAGAAAATATAAGAAAATTTAAGGATTTAGCCCCACTGAAAAGCTCCCACGTGGTGGAAATTCCTTAAAAAAAAAAAAAAAAAAAATGGAATTTCGTGTTCGGCCAGCTCAGAAATTTGGAATAATTCCAAACGCAAATTTCACCTCCCAACCCCCATCCAAAAATGGATTTCCGGGCATTTTTTTGGTGCTGAAAATCTCCAGAGGAAATCGTGAATCACACCCGAGTCATGAGCTGAGCAAATTTTCCACTCCAAAATTTCACCCCAGCCGGATGAAAAATTCATTTGCCTCTTTTATGACTAAAAATCGCCTTTTTTTTTGACTAAAAATCGCCTTTTTTATGACTAAAAATTCCTTTCTGAGCCACCAAAACCCCCCAAAAAAACCCGCAGCTTTTTTCAAGTTAAAAATCCCACGTGGCTGCAAAGTCGAATTCAAATTTATTCAAGCTTAGATTTAAATTTATGAAGAGAATTTACAATTATCTGGAATAATTCAAATTACAGCAGCTTTAATCCTTTCCCTGATGATATTTTGCTGAATTTTAATACATTTATGAGGGAAAAATATCAAAATATTGAACATAAAATACTTTTAAATCTCCCAAAATGAGCTGGACAGGATTGATTCAAACTTATTAAATATTTAAAAGTCTAAATTGTTTTTAAAAGGGTTTTTTAAAGTCTAAATTGAAGGGAAAAAATTCTTTTTAAAGTAGAAACATAGCAGGGATTGGGCTCGGGTGCCAGGGATTTTTCCAGCTTTCAAATAAAGTAAAATATTTAAAATAAATTTGGGGTTTTAGGTAATTTTAGGTAAAAAAGCCCTGAAGGGGAGGATTTAAACAGGCACTGATGCAATCATGAAGTGATTGATTAATTAAATTTATCCTCATCAGCCCCTGAGGAGGTTTCACACCTCAAATTTAACCCTTTTAATTAAAAATACACTTTAAAAATTCAAAACTAAAAATTTTTAAAATTCAAAATTGAATTTTAATTGAAATTGAATTTTAAAAATCCAAAATGTTAGGCATTTTGCCCAAAAAATACCACCCAAACCTAGAGTAAATAAAAGATAACAAATTAAAAAATTAAATAAAAATGTTGTGCAACTGCTCCTTTGGTTTCGAAATGTTGTGAAAGCGGGAGGAAAACCAAAACTGATCAATTAAAATCACAAAAAAAAGCGAATTGCTCTGCAAATCTCTCGAAATCCCGGCAGGAATTTGGGATAAGAAAATATTTCCACCCCCTTAAATGTCCTGATTTGTGGTTATTTCTATTTTAAGAGGAAAAACCCTGAAAACTCTGGAAATCCTGGAATAATGGAATTACAGAGATGTTTGGGATGGAAAAAAACTCAAAAATTCAGGAAATCTGGTAATAATGGAATTACAGAGCAGTTTGGGATGGGAAAACCTGAAGATCCTGGAATAATTGAATTATAGAGAGATTTGGGATGGAAAAAAAAAGCTCAAAATTCTGGAAATCCTGGAATAATGGAATTAGAGTGAGGTTTGGGATGGGAAAACCTGAAAATCCTGGAATAATGGAATTACAGAGCGCTTTCGGATGGGAAAAACCTCAAAATTCCGGAAATCCTGGAATCATGGAATTACAGAGACGTTTGGGATGGAAAAAACCTCAAAAAATCCGGAAATCCTGGAATAATGGAATTACAGAGAGGTTTGGGATGGGAAAAACCTCAAAATTCATCCCAGTCCGTGGGCAGCGATGTTTTCCACAATCCCATTTTTTTCCAACCTGCTTCCAGGGCTGGAGCAGCCACGGCTTCTCTGGGAATTCCATCGCAGGGAAGGATTTATTCCCAAAATCTCAATTATTCCGCAAATCCCGCTGTCAGCCCGAAGCCATTCCCCCTTCTCCTGTCACTCCAAGCCTTTGGGGACATCCCCCACCCATTTTTCTCGCCTGGTTCCCTCCGGGGCACAATTAAATCAACCCGAAATTCCCTTTTCCAGGAGGGACGATCCCAATGATCCCAGAATTTCCCGGGAATGGATAAAAATTCCCGGAGGCTCCCGCCGGGCCAGGCCCCTCCCGCCGGTACCGCCTCCTGCCCCCCTCAGCCGCGGGGAGCCCCGCGTTGCCCTCAGGGCTCTGCTCACCCTACAGCCGCTCCATGGGCTCCGGGCAGGGGGTTGGGGAGGGGAAAGAGCCCCTACACCCCCTGAGGGCTCCGCGCCTCCATTTTAGAGGGGTTCGGGCCGCGGCTTCCCCTCACGGCCAACATGGCGGCGCGGCCATAGAGAGGAGGCGGATGTGCGGCTAGAAGGGACGCGGGGAGGCCGCGGGGTTAGGGCGCCGCCTAGCGGCGTGGAGGACCGCGGCGGTGCGTCCTCAGCCCTCGTGGGAAATAGAAATAGAAATAGAAATAGAAATAATAGAGATAATAGAAATAATAGAAATAATAGAAATAATAGAAATAATAGAAATAGAAATAATAGAAATAATAGAAATAATAGAAATAATAGAAATAATAGAAATAATAGAAATAATAGAAATAGAAATAATAGAAATAATAGAAATAATAGAAATAGAAATAGAAATAGAAATAGAAATATATAAAGTGTAAGCACATAAATATAAATATAAATATAAATATAAATATAAATATAAATAATATAAATAATATAAATATAAACAATATCACTATAACTATAACTATAACTAAACTATAACTATAACTATAAATATAACTATAACTCTAAATGTACCTATAACTAAACTATAAATATAAATATAAATATAAATATAAATATAAATATAAATATAAATAGAAATAGAAATAGAAATAGAAATAGAAATAGAAATAGAAATAGAAATAGAAATATGAAGAGGAATATAAATATAAATAGGAATATAAATATAAATAGGAATAGGAATGGGAAGAAATATTTAAAATCCTATAAACTCGTTTCTTTTATTTATTTGTAAATTTAAATTAAAATTCGTAAAATCAAATAAATAAGTTACATGAAAATTTAAAATATAAATATAAAGACTTAAATGTAAATATATAAAATATAAATATAAATAAATATAAAATACCTATAAACTACTTTCTTTTCTTTACTTGTAAATTTAAATTAAAATTTGTAAAATCAAATAAATAAGTTAAATAAAAATTTAAAATATAACTATAACTATAACTATAAATATGTAAATTAAATCTAGACACCTATATATAAATAACTATCAAATTTCTAGAAACTTGTTTATTTTATTCATTTCTAAATTTAAATTTTAAAAACATTGTAAAATCAAATAAACGCATGAAATAAAAATTTAAATTTAAAAAATACAATTAAATATTAAAGTGAAACAAACCCTTAATTTGCAAATATTTCAAAACAAAAGTTAAAAAACACGATTAAAATTTCAAATGAACTAAAACTTTCAAAATATTTCAAAACGATACTAATACATGCATAAAATAATACCAAACAAGAAATACGCAGGTGGATATTAAAATATCCCGTGTACCAGAATATTCTGGACATCACAATATCCACCTGGATATTAGAATAATCATAATATCCATTAAAAAAAATAATAAACCCACATTTTCCTGCCTCGTCGCGGGGGTGAACTGAATTATTCCCCTTCCAAAATGGGAATATGGGGGAACTGCCGACATCAAAATCCGCTGCCGTAGGCGGGCAGAAAAAATCAGGATATTTTGAGAAATAATTAGGGGTTTTGTCTAATTCTGTGGTTGGTCCGAGGGGAGGGAGGATCCCTGGAAAAATCGGATTTTCCCAATTCCTGGAGCGGCCGTCCCGCTGTGCGGTGATAAAAGCTCTGAGCGGACTCCGAGCCCAGAGCCCGGATAGCTCAGTCGGTAGAGCATCAGACTTTTAATCTGAGGGTCCAGGGTTCAAGTCCCTGTTCGGGCGGATCGTCTTTTTCCAAATATACGTTTTATTTTTTTTTTTTTTTTTTAATTTCCTCACAGGATTCCCTTCAGATGCAGCCGGGATCGTCCCGAAGGCAGCGCTGACCGTGGCACGGGTGTAAAAAAAGGGGTTTTTTGGGAAAAAAAATAATAGAGCGGGGAAAAAAAATAGGGAAAAGTATCAACGCCCGAACAGGGACTTGAACCCTGGACCCTCAGATTAAAAGTCTGATGCTCTACCGACTGAGCTATCCGGGCTCTGGAGCAAGTTGTGGCAGTGCTGGGATATCAGCCTGCGCTGGAGTTGTGTGGCTGATGGGGTTTCCTTCTTGTGCCTTTGTCTGCACCCCATTGTCTGCACCCCCACCTGCACCCCATATCTGCACTCACATCTGCACCCCCATCAGCAGCCCATTATCTGTACCCCACTGTCCGCACCTTCCCTCCTGCACCCCCTAACTGACCCCTTCTGCCTGAACCCCACTATCTGCACCCCATCAGCACCCCAGTGTCTGCACCCACTGCCTGCACCCCATCAGCACCCCACTATCTGTACCCCACTGCTCGCACCTTCCTTCCTGCACCCCCTAACTGACCCCTTCTGCACCCCACTGTCTGCAGCCCCACCTGCACCCCACTATCTGCACCCCACTGTCTGCACCCCATTGTCTGCACCCCCATCAGCACCCCACTGTCTGCATCCCCATCAGCACCCCACTTTCTGTACCCCACTGTCTGCACCCCGATCTGCACCCCACTATCTGTACCCCACTGCCCGCACCTTCCCTCCTGCACCCCCTAAGTCCCGGCAGCATCCCGGGGGTTCCGTGGGGCAGCCAGAGCGGGCTGGGGACACGGGGGGACATGAGGGGACACCGGAGGACACCGCGGGGGCTCTGTGCGATGAGGAACACTCTGGGGACATTCCGGGGGACACCGGGGGACACCAGCCGGGGCTCTGTGCAGTGCGGAGCGCAGCCGGGAGATGGCCCCGCACCGCCCCGCGCTGCGCCCGCCTTTGTCCGCCGCCTCCGCCGCGGAGCTCCCGCCTCTCTCCGGCTCCTCCCGCATCCTCCCGGCTCCTCCCGCATCCTCCCGGCTCCTCCCGCATCCCTCCGGCTCCTCCCGCA